CATGCATGAATGAGTCAAAGCAAGGCTTTGGGCATGTTTTATATGAGAGTATAACATTATAACATGATATAAAACTCAAAGTTGATTTTACATGATATTGCCGCTTTTAAAAAAAAAGTTGTCGACTGTGCTTTTATATGTTTATGATTAAGACAACCTGACATTTTTTGTGTGTGTTTCATTCAGTAAAAGTTCTGCAGATGCTTCTGTTGCTTTTTATCTCAGTTACTGCCACTCACTCATTATTTGTTTACCTTTTTTTGTTGTTGTTTTGTGAAGTAAATGAAACAAAACATTGTGTAAAACAGTATAGATACTGTATAGATGACATGACATTCTTCTTGTTTGCATGTGCAGCGAGTGGGTCACTTTGACCCGGTCACCCGGAGTCCCCTGACCCAGGACCAGCTGATCCCGAACCTGGCGATGAAGGAAGTGATMGATGCCTTTATTCAGGAGAACGGCTGGGTGGAAGACTACTGAAGGGACTTTTTTTGTTTCTCATTCAGTAGTCAACGCAGGACCTGGACCAGAATAAAGAGAACAGATCACCCTTTTTGCCTGGATGTGAACTTTTACACGAGCCACACAGATGGACCACCAAAYGGGAACGAATAGCCTCGACCTGCCTCGTTCCAACGGTTTGATTTCTTCTTCACCTGCTCCAGCTCTCAGAGGCTCGCTGTTCATGGCCTGTCGCTCCCTTTAAGACCGCGTTCGCTCTGCTCTTTCCAATCCTCTTCTCTGTTTTCGGTCGTTCAAGCCTGAATCCTCCCGTGCTTCGTATGGGAGGCCTCGCTCTCAGGTCTCTGACGCACTCTGCCTGCTTTCTCTGTGTCTCTCGTTCTCTGGGTGCCCCAGTTCTTGGGGCAACAAAAGTTAATATCGCACTCCAGTGTTTCACATGTACCAACGATATATATTTATACACGCATATATATATATATATGAAGACAATAATGCAAGCACACGTTTTGCTGGTGGAATTTATGGAAACATTGGCCTTTTTCTTTGATATTTCATAAAGTATTTCTCGTAGTTTTGCATTACAAATGGAGCGTTCGCCCATCTGTTCATGTGTAGTTGTTGAAGTGGTCACTAAAAATGCCAAAAACAAAACTGTTTTCATCAAAAAGTTACTTGTTTGTATGAGAGTTTTACAACGCTAAAAGAAAAAGGAGCAGGCTCTGTTTTCTGCCTGCTGGTGGCTTTTCATACGTCCCCATCCTTGTCACGTTACTGTCCGCCTTTGAGTAGATTTTCTTTCCCTTTGCATATCAATCACYCCCCCCCCCACAGACAATTGCGATAAGTTGAATGTATGTTTTTTTTTTTAACTTTAGGGTTGACCCTCAGTAATTCAAGATGATTTTTGAAAAGCCTTGAACTGGAAACAGAACATAAATGGCTGCATATAAAAAAAACAGTTTTCACATTGCTGGATCTGAATTCAGAATACTTTAAGCGTGAGAGTCGTGAGACATTTGCTGTTTTGGCTGCTGCTAAAACCTGCTTCGACAAAACGGTCTGTGCTGTCTGTGTTGTTCATAAGAGCAAAAGAAAAAAAAAAAGGAAAAGAGATGTTTCGTGCCCCTCATGCTGTTTGCCTGGAATGAAAGCAGACTCTCACATCAAGCATGAATTGAAGTTTGAAGATGCTTTAGCATTTTTCCTCACCTTTTTAGTTGTTTTAGTTTTCGCTCCGTCAGAGCACCGTGAACTGAATCGTGTTCATTACACGGATCTGAGGTGGAGTAATATCACTGCCCCAGCAGCTGCCATAAAATCAACAACAAAAAAAAAAAAAAAATAGAAAAATGCTGGAAGAGTTTTGACCATCTTCTCTCAATCATACCTCGACCCGAGTGTTGGCATTTCCGGCGTTCTCCTCATTTCCAACAGAGTCCAAATAGTTTACAGGTGTTTCCAGCTGAATGTGTCTGTGGTGAATCAGGCCTGTTGGTGATATTTTCTTTTATTTTATGCTGGAGTTCAGGCAGCGTACCTAATTAGCTGTTACTCAGATTTTATTTCTCGATTTAGATAGGGAGGTTTTGTTTTTCTTCTCGAGGAATCCTAGAGCTTGAGAAACTGTATTAAATGTAGATATGTTGATAACATAAATGCCTGATTCTGTTTTCATTTGTTCCCATTAAACGATGAACTTGGAGCGTGTTTGTTGTGGTGTTTGACTCAAGATAAAGGAMTATTAAGTGTAAATGGCTGCTTTTTGAAATGAAAGTGCATAAAATTCTGGACATGAGACCTGAAATAAATGACAACTTGATGAGACTCTCTTTAACTTGGCCTCTAATTCACACATAAAACGTCTCTGACTGGTTWATTCAGTGGGTTTTTACTCTTCACTCATTTATTTTAATAATTTTAAGACATCAAACAAAACTAAGCTAAAAAAGGCCCAATTCTGATTTTCAAGAAATATAAAGAGAACCAAAATAAAAATAACTGAGCTGTCACTGGCTCATTGTGATCACCATGGTAACCACACACTTGTGTCTGTCACTCCCTGACTGCCAAGGTGCAGAAAATAAAGCTCAAACAAGCAGTCACTGCTGGAGAACTAGAAGTCTGATCTTAAAAAATGATTTAAAATGTGAGCAGCAGAAGACTGATTGAATGAAGGATTGAGTGAATTTGTTTCCACAATTTTTTTTTATGTAGGACATGACAAGTTAAAACACACTTTCAGATAAAAAAAAAATAACATAATCTAAGAATAAAAGTAAGGGAATTTGTGTTTTATAGATTATTTCTTTGTTGTAATAACGTTTCTCGACAAATATGGTTGGGCAGCTTGTTAATTTCCCTTTTAAATGGGGCCACATTTGCAAGGAACGTGCATTTGTGGGATGAGCAGTAGAGTATGTGGGTTGCACAGATTTTGCCAAATCTTTGCCAAGCAGCTTTTTTTTTGTCGTTGTTATTGGTACTTGTTTCATGCTTCTGGTACCTTCAGGTGCCCGCTATAAGATTTATTGCCAAGAAGCATTGTTAGAACAAATCTAACAAACAAAAATTTCCTTACTTTTTGTGCTAAGTATAAAAGTATAAAATACCTTTTTCCTACGTTCTTTTCAAAATAGTTTGATTTCAGTGCGACTTTTATTCCCTCTGCTGTAAACACTGAAACGGGGTAGTGGTGGTGGTCCTGAGTCACATGGACTGACTTGCTCAGACCTCACACACCGAGCCTTTTGTCAGAGCCTGGATCCAAGAGGTGACATCAGGGTCTGTGCTTGGAGGGAAGAGGACTGAACCCAAGTGGTTCTGATTTATCCACAAAGGAGCAACGAAACAACATGAAAATGGTAAAATAACCTTTTTTAAAAACACAAAATCTGTACAAATACTTAGATCTCTGATGTCAATAATTGATATTACTTTGAAAYTGTTTTCTGTCCTGTGTGTGTTATCAGAGGGTCAAAGCTGCGATGATCCCTGTGGTTCTTCTCAGTGCAGCTGTCTGGTCTTTGACTCATTCTACAGCCACACAAGGTGGGAAACAAGAATTTTAACTTGTGCATAAATGTAGATTCAGAGATTATTAAAAAGATCAGAGTAACTGAAATATATCTTAGGTGTGGTGAACAATTTCATAGAAACAGTTGAGTAAAAATCTCAGTCATCTTCTTTTTCTTATTATTTTAAGTTTCTACAAGACGAGATCACTGCTGTTGGAGGGTCCAAAATGTCTTATGTCTATTTTGTTGCCTTTTAAGATTGTTATGGATTAATTATGTATATCTGTTCTACGTTGACACTGTCCAGTAATCATATCTCATGATAACTAGTTTCGGCTGTTTTACTCTTTTTTTCTTTTTTATTGATGGCCTCCCTTCCCCCCCTATAGACATCCTCTCCACACCATTATTATGTTTTTTTTTCTCTACTCTAACGGCCCAGACTTCAAGACTCCAGCAATGCATGACCTCTTTTATTCTGATAAGGTGTKTCCAGGCTGACAGCCCTGTTATTGGTTAGGTGGTTACAGTTGTCGAACTGTGATTGGTTGTAAGCATGTCACATGATGTTATATTGTCGGCTGCTCTACGCTGACGGGTAGCCACATCACGACAGACTTCGCTGATTGACCTCTGCTTTGTTGTTGCTCAGATTAAATCATTTGACGACCATACACGCAGACTWTCTGTGCATTTATTCCAACGTGTTTCTGCATTCTTGGTAAATCTTGCCAACACAAAGATTAATATTTTTTTGTGCCTTTCATGATTTWAAAAAGTCCAAACAGTCCAAAGCTTTCAGAGTAGATGTGGTTCTCCTTCTGACAGGTAGGAGTCTCTGCAGTGCATAGGGTGGGAGTTTCTTGTTTGGGCAGATTTTGTCCAAACCGTGAATGGCAGAGTTTGTGATGTGGGCGGAGTTAGTCTTAAACATGATTGGTGGAGTTGGTGGGTAGGCGGAGTTTGAATAATAGGTGAAGGTTGGGCGTGGGTGGAGCTTGGCAAACCAGTGTTTGGTTGGATGGACTTGTGGGGCAATTTRAAAGGGGAAGTAATGGTAAAATCATTGTGAACATGTAAATATGAGTTTTTGACTTCAAATTTTGTGCGGCAAGTACCGAATTCCTGTCTCACGTTAACTTATGTCTAATTGTAAGTTATATTCACATATAATGATCTTTTTACAGGGTGATTAGGGCTGTTTAGACCAAGCTGAATTATTGAACGTCCCACCACATACGGCATCTATTGTGCAGCTAGCACCTTCCTGTCTTGAGTTATGACTAAAATTAATATTTACAAAATATCGGTGCTTCTTGGCCGTTTCCACCAAGCTACACCCAGCTGCCTCCAGCTTCTTCAAACTCCACCCAAACTTGTCAATCCAATCAGTCACGTCTTTGATAAACTTTGCCCACAAATGTCAAACACCAATTATGCTTTGGACAAACTTCTTCCACAAAACAAGAAACTCCTTAGTGACTGCAGAGACCCTCTTCTCCCATCTGAGACGGAGATAACTTGAGAGTCGTCAGCGTAACATAAAAACTTACAAACTCTAAAAACCTTTTCTGAGTCATTTTGATTCTGTCCAATACAAACCTTGATTGAGATTTTGGTTGTGACTGATTTTAGTGGGCCTGCGCAACAAAGTGCTGGTCTTCCCCTTYGAGACGGACTTCAGCTACGTGGCCCTGGTCCCTCAGAAGGACATGGCTCTCCAGGCCTTCACTCTCTGCCTGCGTGTGGCCACCGAGCTGCCAGAGGAACGGCAGATCATCCTGTTCGCCTACCGCACGTCCGACTACGACGAGCTGAACGTGTGGCGCGAGAAAGACGGTCGYGTCTCCTTCTACATGAGCGGCGACGGCACCTTCTACCACCTGCCCCCCCTCAGCACCTTCCGCACCAGCCTCTGCCTCACCTGGGAGTCTCGTACCGGCCTTGCTGCTTTTTGGGTAGAGGGAAAACGGAGCACCTACCAGGTGTACAAGCCGGGTCACAGCATCCGCCCCAAAGGCACCGTCCTCCTGGGGCAAGACCCAGACAAGCACCTGGGGGGCCTGGAGGCCACGCAGAGCTTCGTGGGAGAGCTGACCGACCTGAACATGTGGGACTTTGTGCTTTCTAGGAGCCTGATCCAGGCCTGGCATTATGGACACAAGATTCCAAAGGGGAACATCTTCGACTGGGCCACCATAAAGTATGAGCTGAGTGGGAATGTGATGGTGGTCGATGATGACTGACGTGACGTGAAGTCCAGCGCAGACAGAGGTCAGGCTGTAGAGGTGAGTGTTGGACTGATACTCGTGTTCTCCTCTTTTAGATTCATAGTCGTGGGAACCTGTTTCAGCTGGGGGGTGATGTGAGCACACGTTTGTGATGGAAATATCCACCTTATTTACACGGATGTAAACATGGGTCCAAACATCCATTTTTTTTGTGCAACACTTCCGTTTCACTGCTTCCATGGGTTAACTAATAGCAGCTTAACTAAATTGGTGAACTATGTTGTGGAAACTTTCCCAAAGATCGCTGAACAATCGAAATGTGAAGTCAGTGCCAGACCCTCAAAMTATTCTCCAGTTTGAAGTTGATATGGAAAAAATGGCCTCSTGTAACRTATAAGAACATTTTTAACTATTGTGTTGGTGCAGATGGGTCTACAATGTGCAATCACAAAATTACAGAKGCTTATCAGTACCTCCACAGTAGAATATAGCAGTATTGATGACCTGSCATAAAGGCTAATGTCCAACCAAGTCAATGCAAGTCTAATGTTCATTCTGCATGGACCCGCTTTACATCAACCGTCACTACTGAGACGGCCAGGTGCTCCTGTGTCGCGGGTCAGGGGAAGTCYTGCAGTCACGCAGCAGTGATCTTATGGAATGTAGGCTAATGAATTTTCTGTTCAGCTCCATAACATACTGGAAGTCTTGCACAAAAAAACAACAATTGACTGTGTCTGTATCCCCGTGAAAAAAAAGGTGGATAGATCAGATTGGTAAACTTCATATCAAAATACATTTGGAGTTGAAAATACACGAGGCACTGATAAAAACAGTTTTGGTTTAAACTAAGTTTGGATGTGCACTTTCTCTGGCATCCACTAAGGGGTGCTATAGCACCCTCAGCACCCCCACTTCCCATGGCCTTGCATCAAACAGAATCTGTTAGAAGTTAGAAGTTAGAAGAGATGAAAGCAGCCTATCCTGGCTGAATATACTTTATTTCTTTTTTTATTTTTTGGTCTGCAACAAAACACTTGAAACAAAAGTCACGACTTCTCACTGTTTGAGTCACCCAGACCTTCAGCTAAACAGGTAGCAGTGTTTATTGTTCTCTTCTCTGCTTTTAATTTTGTGTCTCAAAGCTTTAACTGTCAGATTGTGTTTGTAAAAGTTTGAAAACATTTTTGTCAGAATTAAAAGTTGAGCTAATGGTTTAATTAGACGTGTTGTATTAACAAATGAAATAAATGGTGTTTTTTGTTTGATTCATTTGATCCATACATGAGGTTTAGGTTTTTGTACTCCCACAAAGCACAAGTAAAAAATTTTCGAACAAGAACTTAAAGGGTAATACTACTTACTATTGTAAAAAAATAACATTTACAAGCCATAAAAATCACATAATTGAGCGGATCTAAGAACTTTATCAGTCAGTTTTGCCACATTTGTTATCTTGACTTGTAAAATAACCAAAAATAAGAAGTATATTTTACATAAAATATTTTACAATTTATTTCTTTTGGAGTTCTAGGTGAATATAAGTGAATATTAATAGTTTAAATGTCAGATAGAACCACAGAGGGGCACTCTTTACTTGACTATAAACAGCCAAGCTGAACTGCATTCACAAATGTGATTTGACACGAAGAACTCCTTAAAGGTGAAGAATACATTTTATTAGGATTATGTCTGATTTTATTTTAATCTGTAATTATTTGCCCACTGTACAAATAAAGAATAAAAATACGAAGTAATTTATTACTATTCATTAATTTATATTTTAGTTGTTAACAGCCATGAGGAAGCTTGTAATTAAAATAAGGAGTAACAACAAAGCCACTAAATTTAAACGTTTATTACATATAAAATTAACCATAATAAATTAATATCTGGATATAATTGTCAGAATTAAAAGAACGTGGAAACAGCAAAGAGGAACATCACATTTTTAAAGTRCTGTGAGTGTGAAGGCAACGCTCCTGTTCAAACCTTTTGGTAAACACTCATTCATGTCTGAACTGATGTAAGAGAGCTTCTGGATTTGAAATAAAATCTCACCATGTGCCTCTAATACAGTTTGTTATTAAAGAGATTTTCAGACCTTTACTCTTGCGTCTCTTTTTTAGTAATCCTGTTAGTTTTCAATTTGGAGAAATTTAGACTGTTTAAATTATAGTTTTAAGCGGATTTAGTTTTGCCTCAAATAACTGTTCAGAATGGAGTTCAATGTCTGCATTTTTTAAAATAAAATTATTTTCAAAACAAAGCTTTGTTACTGGATGGAAAAGATGAGAGAACATGCTCATTCAGGATTCACTTTACTGTTTTTTTTTTTGGTCTGTACATTTTTTAACTACTTTAGCATATTTTGTAATTTAGCCATTTATACTTTTCAAAATGTTTTATTTTAATTAAAAATATTTTCCTAATAATACTACATTAGGATTTTTACATTTCTTTTAAAAACTGAAGCCTGCTTTGGCACATTTGCCTTTTTTGTCTTTTACTGCTTTTAGGTTTTTACTCCTTTCTGTACAATTGTCTAACCTTTTGCTCGTTTTTTAGCATTTAGCTAAGCTTTTGCTGCTTTTAGCTAATATTTTAATACTTGTAACTCATTCACTGTTTTGTTTTAGTATTCAGCTTCAGTGTTGCTACCTCTAATTAGCATTTTGTTACTTTTAGCTTTTAGCTAATCTAATGTTCCACTTCTTGAAACAACTCAGTTTCAGCTTCTTCAGAAAATCCCACTCCCATCTTTTTGACAGAAAATGCAGTTTCTTTAGCTCTCCTGACTTGTTTCAGCTTCAGTGGTTTTAAAAAGGATTCTTGTTCATTTTTAAAAATGTTTGGGAAAAGATGCTTCCTAAATGGAAAAAAGGAAAGTAGAAATTTCTGGGTGCTTCTTGTTTCATGTTTCTTGTGTGTTTTTTGAACCACACATGGCCAACAAACATAGGACACATGTGTTCCACATTAGCTGCAGAAACTGAGGCATATGGAGTTGCTTCACCAACACAGGCCCCTCAGAACAGACTCGGGGGTCAGATCCTCTCCATCCAAGTGTAACAGTAACTCCGTGTGCTGCCTCGGCTCCTCTCCATGGCTCCCTGCACTCATCCTCCCAGCCTGCACCACCATCCTGACCTCCTTGCCGAGACGAGGGAGAAGTTTGCGGCTCGGCGCAGGCTTTCCTTCAGGGTGGGAAAGTACTGAATGTGTGTTTATCCTGACCAAATCGCCCGTCGGCTCTCTGGAAGCGGCTAAATGAGGAGGAGGCAGGGCCGAGGAGCTCTGACTGCGGGTCAGCAGCCAAATGTTCCACCTTCTTGGATGTTGCAATGCATCAATCGCAGTGCCCACTCACTGTGTGGGAACACCTTTGTGGACCATCTGTCCAAGTCTGTCTTCTCAGCCCTCTGGTACGCACGCACACACACACACACACACACACACACACACACACACACACACACACACAAAGGGAGAGAATTTCTTCCCTCTTGTATCTCTGCCCAACAGTAGCATTAAATCTACACTCATAATCATGCAATTTTAAAATCATTTTGGCGTATATTACCTTCAAATTAAAATAAAGATTATACCATTATGCCCTGCTATTAAAGGCAAAAGTCCAATGTTTTACTGTGTGTCTGTTTAGCAAAATGTCATGAATCTGTGATTTTAGACTCAGACAGTAATGAATGTCCATCTTCAGCTCATTAACTTACAAAGTGAACCTGATTAAAGACAACCTCCAYTGCTAATCCAGTTTCCTAACACAAAAATGCCAACAACTCACTCGGTTTGACAAATGTAAGCTTAACTGAGAGGTTAGCACTGATGCCTCACAGCAAGAAGGTCCTGGGTTCAATTCTTGTTTTTCTTTTTTTCTGTGTGGATTTTACATGTTGTCCTGTGTTTGCAGGTACAGTCTAAAGTTGTGCCTCCCTGAAAAAAAAAGATGTGATCTTAGTGGGGTCTGCGTGGTTAGAGAAACAATAACTGATTACATCGGGATGTCTAGTTTTTACAAAATCAAAAACTAAAAAAACAATCAAGCTCTGTTTGTATCTAAGCTTGTCCATTACTAAATAACTTAAGATTTTAAAACGAATGTTTACGAGTAATTGACTCAACATTACTCATGTTTATTAGTTATCATTATTCATGTTTATTAGTTATCATTACTCATGTTTATTAGTTATCATTAT